AAAAATGGGGGGGGTGGCAAAATGCACGGGATTATGCTGATGGCACACGGGTGATTTGGTGATGGGAAACCCGCGGGGATTACAATCGAGATGGAAAAAAAATGTACAAAATGATGTAAAAATAAACTTTTGTAATAAAAAAAAAGAAAAAAATAATAATGTTTGTTGCAACTATATACCAGAGACATTTCACTGGGGTGGAGTGGGGGATGGGGTCAAAAACAGTGAGGGGAGGGAAATACACTGGACTATGGTGATGGCACATGGTGATTTGGTGATGGGAAACCCAAGGGGATTGCAATTGAGATGGAAAAATGCATAAAATGATGTAAAAATAAACTATTACATTATTTTTAAAAAATAGCGTTTGTTGCCTGGGCTAGTTATAAGGATAAAAATAACATGCGTGAACTTGTTCTGTAATGCTGAGCTGAGGAGTTACAGGAGATGACCAAGTGCAGGGGCAGACTGTTGAGGTAACAGATCAAAGGGCAAAAGGCAACCGCAGAGGGTCAGGGAACACCTTGACTGCAGATGGGACGCTGGTGATTACACTGGAAGTAATGATCAATCAGGCCCGTTCACCTTTTCCCCAGCTGAGCCTGGGGGCCCCTCTTTGCCAGCTAGCCCCTCCTGCCCCTTCAGCCCTTCTGGACCATCCTCTCCCCGGGGACCTGCGGGTCCAGGGTGTCCCTGGAATAGAAAAGAGAGACTCTGATATCAGTGTTTCTGTCACTCCTGCTCTCCCTGGCCCCCTACCTTGTCCCCAGCTCACTGCCCACCACCCCCATCTTACCTAATTCCCACAGACCCACGGGACTCCTCATTTGGGGGTTATCTTACCCGATCGCCTTTTAGCCCCCCATCACCCTTGAAGCCTGGGAAGCCATCCTCTCCCTGGGTGAGAGAAAATATGTATCAGAGGTCAGAGTTTAAGGGAAGGAAAACAACTAGAGCCCCAATATGAGGGCTTCCCCCTGCAAGGAATCCTCTCCTTTCTCACCTTCACTCCTTTCTCTCCCTGAAGGCCCCGGTTGCCAGAGGTACCCTGAAAAATAAAAAAGCTCTCAAGCCCCTCCCCTGCTTAAGAAGGACTTCAGACTCAGTCCTCTGGCCCTAAAAAGCCAGGGCAAAATCCTCAGAGGATGTTGGACTGAGTCTGGAGAGAGGAGCAACCTCAGCGGAAGTGATCTTTTCCCAAAATGCAGTAGTGTAATGTACAAGAGGCTGCCTCTCTCCTTCCCCCTTCCCCACTGGCAGCCTCCCAAGGTCATCTGTGTGGGGGTGTGCAGAGAAGGCAAAATTTCCAAGTAATTGATTCCCATCTCCCAGGGACACTATGTCCACAGTTCCTTCTGGCAGGAGAAAGAGGAGGCACATACCAGGCCCCTGACTCATTATAAAGGCAAAGGAATGTTCCTCATTGTGTTAGCTACAATACCACTCTGTGCCTGGCAACAAGGCCAGTCTATCTGTGCTTGGCTACAGTGAGACTGCTCAGAGCCAGCCAGATGCTGCTCCCACCAAATTCTGGGCTTCTACTGTAAGGAAAGCTGCACTTGGCTACAGTGTAACTGGGTTCAGTTGACTACAAGGAAATTATACTTGGACACAATATAACTATGTGCTTGGCAATAGCGTAACTGTCTCCAGCCACAGAGACACAGTGTAGTTAAGCTCAGTGACTACAGTGAAATTGCTCTTAGATACAGTATAAATACACGTTTTGACAATAACATGACTCTCAGGGGCCACAGGGAAATTTAGTTGACCACATTTTAATTGACCTTGGCTAAAGTTCTCTGGCTTCCACTACAATATAAATAGACTCAACTAGGACATGGATTTCAAGTATGTATTAAAAAGCACGCCTGACTACAGTGCAGCTCTGTGTTTGACCAGCGGCAATATAACAACCCTTGGTTATAGAGTACCTGAGCACAACTACAGGGCAGAAATATGAGGAGTCAGCTCTTAGTTACCGCCCACCTGTTCTTAGACCACAGGGAACAGCCACCTATACTTGGCTACAATGGGCTGCACTCAGCTACCACAGAGAGGAATTCCGAGTTCCCTGCACTGGGCCAACCATGCTCCTCTACCCAGCCTGTTTATCTTGCAGATCATGTGCCTCTGGGCTTATGCTGTAACCCAAACCTCTGCTCAACTGCAACGTGCAGACCTGGACACGGATGCCGTGTGTGTGCTACAGTGAAGTGAGTGCCGCCTCTCACAGGCTTCACTGCTCTCTACTGCAAAGCAAAAACCACACTGTGGTTTGGCAGTCAACCACAACCGAGCATTTCATGGTTTGACTCTAAGTTACACACATACACATACACATTTTTCTATACTGTCACTCAGACCCAAACCTCCTCCCCCTACACCTTGCTGGAAGACTGATTCCTCTCATCACACATGAAGATGTTTCTGATGGAGCTGGCTCGGAAACCAATCACCCACACCAATCACCCACCTTCACACCTCGAGGTCCCGGATAGCCTGGAGGGCCTGCCGACCCTGAGGGACCCTGAGAAGGAGATAAGATCAGTGCCAAGCTGTACTTCTGCATTCTCAGTGCATCATCTCTTTTCCTCACTCACCCTTAACTCCTGGCCTTACCTACCAACCCCCAACTCCAACCCAGCCTCTCAACATGTCACTCACCTGAGCCCCTTTCTCACCAGTGGGGCCTTCATGGCCTGGGTGACCCTGAGGGAGTAAAAACATCCTAAGTTAGGCCCTCCCTAGTGGCGCAGCAGGTTAAAGCACAGCTAAAGCCACTTCCGCATGAGTTCGATTCCCGCCTGCCCCGGAGGAGACCACATGATGTGGCAGACCTCTCCTGACCCACCCGCTGCTCCCCTCAGCAGTGTACTTCATAGATCTGCTTGTTCTGCTCCCCATTCTGTCTCTGGTGAAGCCTCTCACCATCCCTGAGCCTCTGGCCTGTACCCCAGTTCTGTATGTACAAATAAATAAATTTTTTTAATAAAAAAAAAATCCTAAGTTATCAGAGATCTGGATTGGTCATCCAAATTCCCCAGCCTCCCTTTCTTCCTCTGTCCAGCCCCCAGTTCTTACCGGAGGGCCATCAGATCCTGGGGGGCCTGGAATTCCGGGGTTCCCAGGGGGACCCTTAAAAAAGATGAGCAGTAGGAATAGGAGAGAGAGGGTTCAGGGCCCAGTACTCCACCAGGAACAGCCCCACTCAGACATGCAGCTACCTCAAGAAGAGCCACTACACTATTATATTATTTAAAAAGAAGAAGAATATCCACTACAGGAAAATCTATCTTCAGTCCTACCCAGACTTGCTGACCCTGAGTCAATCCCCTCCACTCTCTATGCCTCAGATGTGACTCTCTGAATCCTACGAAGAGTTGACAGGTCCAGAAATGGTCACCAATCAGATTTCTGAAATCTAATGGTAAGACTAAAATACTACAGTCAAACAGATTTGGACAAAGAAACTCTAAGGTCGGGGCCTCCCTAGTGGGAGTTAAGTCTCAATGGCTAGCCACTGCCACTGCAGGCATAAGTTCAATCCCCGGCCAGGGAGCTGACCCACACAGCACGGTAGGCCTTTCTTGTCTCCCCGCTGCTCCCCTCGGCAGTGTATTTCAATCAAATTCACCTCCTCTGCTCCCCACTCTGTCCCTGGTGAATCTTCTCACCCCTGCTCCTGAAATTCTGGCCTACACCCTAGCACTTATATGCACAAATAAATAAAATAAATCTTTTAAAAAAAACGAAACTCTAAGATCATAAGGAAGGAGATGGGGACTGAATTGGTAACAAAGCTTGAAATGTGTGTGTAGAAATAGAAGTTGGGGGTGAGGACAGATTAAGACATGTGCAGCAAGCCATCTGTCTGCCAGGGTGAGCTGGAAACAGGTGTGCAGGCAAACAAAGATGACAGCAGATGCCAGAGAAAGGGTTTTCCTGGCCTGTGAGCCTTGACAACATTTTCTATGACTGTTTTCTGAGGGCTCCCCTGAATTCTGACATCATCTCTTATGCACCCTAACTTGGTAGCTTTCTGTTTCTAGAAACCAATCCTTCCCCAGCAATGATACTTTGTAACTCTGGGCTTCTTTAGGGAATATTGTAATAATCTGTCATTACTGAGCTAATAAAAGGGGCCCTTGGGGAAGCTTTTCCTAGACAGAGTTGAAGGAGGAAGACATGAGTAGGGGATAGGGAGATAGTAGGTAACGCTGCCACTCACCTTCTCCCCAGGGGTGCCAATGTTTCCCTGGGGGCCAGGGAGGCCCTAGGGACACGAAAAGAAGAAGAAAGTTGACATAAGAAAGGGACAGTGAATGCAGGGTTGAGGAGATTGGGCATGGTCTATGGCCTATGGCTGACCACTGCCATGCCCCTTTATTAGGAAAGGAAGCTCCAACCTGGGACCCAGGGTTCCCCTGCTGTCCTGGAGGGCCCGGTTCTCCTGGAGGACCCTGGAGAGAAAGAGGGAGTTCAGAGAGGCTGAAAGGGCTCATGGTATTGCATTGCCAGGGAAGCTGAGGTGTGGCAGCAGGGCACAGGAGTAGCCGGGATATGAACAGTCACAGGGTCTGCGTGTCAGAGTGCCAGGGGCCAGGGACTCGACTACATACCACATTTCCTTTGGCCCCTGGAGCACCATCAATTCCAGCAACACCCTGGGGGAAGAGAAGGCATGAGACCAGGGCAGACACATGCACAGCTGCCTGGTCTGAGACACCGAGGGGCACAGAAGGGAGGGTGTGGGGACAGAGAAGGCAGGCGACAAAAACGGGCAGGAAGCGGGACAGGTGAGAAGACATAGCGATATGGAAGGACAAGTACATGCTCACCGGCCGTCCCAGGGGGCCAGGAGAGCCTCTGGGGCCAATCATTCCCCGGGCACCCTGCCAGGAAATAGAAGCATTATTCCAGCAGACCCCAGTGAAAGCCTGAGTCCTGACTCCTCCAGGCAAGGGGTTAGGAACCCCTGGTACTCACCGGCTCCCCAGCCTGGCCAGTGGGTCCAGGAGGGCCCTCTGCTCCCTATGGGAAAAAGGCATATCATTACTGGGGCTGCAGGGGAAATGGCTCCCGGAGAGACGGGCTCCTTGTCTGGGTAGACCCTTCCACGGATCTGACTCAGCACAGGACCCCACCCCCACACCTGAGAGCCTGAGTCTCCCTACTTGACCCCAATTCTGTCCCCTAGCTCTCAGTGTGTGCGTTTGGCCTCTCCTGGTCCTCTAGTGCAGACCTTCACCCTCCATCCTGTCCCCTAATCCACTTTGATGCAGTCTGGCTTCCTAGCCTCCAAACTGTCCCTTAGCTCTCTTCCAGTTTTACCTTTTCACCATCCTCTCCTGGGAGCCCAGGTTGCCCCACGGGGCCAAAGTCACCCTGTAGCAGAGAACAGAGGGAGTCAGAAGCAGAAAGTGGAGTGGAGATCAGCACCCCAAGAAAGGAGATGGGACACAGGGGTGGAGGCCCTGAAACAGGAGGCAGGGACGCGGGGACGTCGTGAATGCTGGGAGTTGACCTGGACCTCGGGGAGGGGCCTTGCACACTCACCCTTTGGCCTTTCTCGCCAGGCAGCCCGGGGAGACCGTCAAAGCCCCGATCACCCTGTACAAAGGGAAACCAGCTGAGCCTGAATCCTTCACCCTGAGTGTCCCCCACCAACCCATCCCAGTATCTTTACCTACCTTAGGCCCCGTGTCCCCTGGGAGGCCGCGAGCCCCATCTGCTCCAGAGCGGCCCTATGGGGGAGTGACCTCATCAGAATGTCTGTTACTGAGCACCCTCATGGGGGGCTGCGGACCAACTCTACCTCCCAGACGCATCCCAATCCTATCATTACTCTTTATTCCTGGTGTTCTCACTCAAGTCACCATAATCACAGAGTCAGAAACTGTGTATTTAGTCTCTGGGAACTGCCTAGCTGTGTGATCCTCATCACACTTGAAACTATCTGGAGTTGTCTTATTTGTCATTTCCTCCAATATGCCAGACTTTTCTTTCACATATTATGTTCCTTCTAGTTTGAATGCACCCATCCCCCAGCTCAGGTGAAGCATCGCTCCCTCCAGCCAGTCTGACTCCGTGCTATCAGACACTCAGTAGACAGGTCACCCCTGTCCTCAGTGCGCTCCGCCCCTACTAACACCAGCAGACTGCGGGCACAGAGCACACAGTGTTGTGGGATGAATAAGGGATGACCAGGTGACCTAAGAGTGACTGTCACTCACCATCTTGCCCTCTCGGCCAGGTGGCCCAAGGGGTCCTTGAAGACCTCGGGGTCCCTAGACAAGAGAGAAAGGGGAGAAGAAAAGCAGAATAAGAACGTACTTAAGAAACAAATTCCCTGGGGAAAGCAGGGATTACAAGGATATCCTCCGGCCGTGGTCACCAACTGGCCTTTCCCTGTGGTCCACCCCCCAACCATCTCACCTGCGGTCCCATTTCTCCCATCTCGCCTTTCAGACCTGGATACCCAGGAAGACCCTTGGGAGAAAAGATGGGCAATGTGTTTAAAGGGACCCCTTCTTCAGGGATATGTCCCCCTCCTTCATGAGGCCTCCTACTTACCACGGGGCCTGGACGCCCTGTGAGCCCCATGGGGCCAGGGGGGCCTTTCATAGAGAGCTGGAAAGATCAAGGGAACAGAATCTCAGGTCTCTCACAAGCCCCCACATCTCCTACAAAGGCTTCTTCAGGAGGCAGACATGCACAGTCCTCCAAGGTCCCCACCTCTTCATTCTCTCAGTGCCCCCCGCCCCCGCCGTCAGTCCCCTGCTCTCTCCAGACTCACCTGAGCCTGCTGCAGCACCGCCCGCGCCTGCGCCTGTTGGAAGGAGACTGCAGGTCCTTTGAGGGAGCTACTGGCAAACTGGAACTAGAGGCCAACAGGTTATGAGAAAGCCCCAAAGAATCAGGAGTATACCCCAAAGCGTGTGTCACAGGACGTCCATTTTCCTCTTACCGGCATCATGATCACAGTGCCTGGTAGGCCTCGGACCCCATCAATGCCAGGGATTCCTGGGAGACCTGCAGGGCCCTGGCAGAGGGAAAGACAGAAATGGGTGGAGATGGAGGGAGGGAGAAGAGGATGGAGGTAGGAGCAGAGACAGAGGGAAGAGATGAAGAAGGGGAGAGGGAAGACAGAGGGTGTGTGGAGTCAGAGATGGACAGAGGGCGGCAAGGAGTGACAGAGATGGAAGAGAAGTGGGGAAGGATGGAGGGAGGCAGGAGAGACAGAGAAGACAAAGGCAGCTTGATAGAGGGAGGAGAGTCGCAGGGAGTAGTGAGGCAGAAAGAGACAAAGAGCAGCAGAAGAAAGATTAAGAGACAGAGAAAGAAAGACAGACGCAAAGGACACTCAGGCATAGAGACAGTGGCGAAAAGAGGGAACAGGGCCCCGGAGGCAGAAGAGGAGCAGAGTGATAATCCACAGGTAAGGCTGAGCAGGAAGGGTCAGTGCCAACGCAGAGCTGGTGTCCCCAGTGCCAGCCTGTCAGGCCCAAGTTATACATTCATGCTCCGCATCTCAGCTCCATGTCCCCAAACCTCCCTCCCGCACAAGGACACATCCCAAGCGGGATCTCTTACTGGTAAGCCACGGTCCCCCGGGAATCCAGGGGAACCAGGAGGGCCTGAGGGGCCGACCACACCCTGTTGTGGACAGAGGAACAGAAGTCATCAGAAGTACAAAGTTAGAACCAGGTTGACCCACCACTGACCCTGACGACATCCTGGGCTCCCTACACAACCACTTTGCTATTTGTGCCACTCAGCACTACGTAACCCACATCAACCCCAGTTTTACACCTTCACCATCTTTGTCTCATTCTTTGAGCCTCATAGCCAATAATCTTCAAATGATCTGGCAACATTGCCCCCAGCTCTCCACCCCAGACACTTTAAAACCCGAATGGAAGGGAAAGATTGAAAGAGGACAATGCAGCCATCACTCACTCGGGGTCCAGGGGCTCCAGGAGGTCCCTCAAACTGCTGTCCCTGAGGGAAAAATGAGAGTGATACCCATTCTAGCCCAGACCCCTCATCTCCTTCCATCCCCGGCTCCTCACCTGTTCAATTACTGCTGGTTCCCCTTTTGCTCCTTTCTCTCCAGCACCCTGGGGTAGAGAGGGGGAGCGAAAAGGGATGTGATCCCAGGAACTCAGATACAGAACGTTCAGTGAAACACACACACACCACCCTCAGTACTACCTCTGCTGTTCTGTCTTCAACCGATATATTTTGAGAGCCTTCCGCCATCTTACCGATGCCATTGTGCATTGTTTCTGCCTCTCTCCATCTCCAGCAGCAGAACCACAAAAGAATGTGGCCCCACTTTGCTGTCTCTCTACAGCATCCCTGTCTCCTGGGTCACCACCCTCTTTGGGGACTAGTGATTTCCCTGCTGCCCCATATGACGCCCCCTACAGTCCATATGTTGCTCAGCAGCCAGAAGGAGCTTTTAAAACTCAAGTTAGGTAGACGATGTTCCACCTCGAGAGACTTCTCATGCTTAGACTAAGTCAAATGCATCGCCGTACCCACAGCCCAGCCGTTAGCACAGTGTCTAAAGCACTGTGGGTTTATTGTTCATGTTTATGTTATTGCTCGTGTTTACTGACTGCACTGGGGTGATGAAGCATTCTAGGTAATATAAAAGAAGCAAGAGAAAGTGACTGTGTGTGGCTCTGGACAGAGTCCCTTCTCCTGCACTTAACCTAGTCAGCTAGACTCACAGGAAAGATCTGGAACTGAGTCCGTGATGACTGTTCTGCTGCCCGGAAGTCAGGGCCCATGGTGGGGTCATCTCCTTCCTCATCCTCATTGATTAATTCAGTCTCCGAGGACCCCAATTCAGTTTCACTTTCAGGATCAAGGTCCCCCTGAGGACATAGGGAGAAACCAAAGTTCGCTCATCACCTCCTTGCTGTCTGCACCACCATTGTCCCGCTCACTTCCTACCAACCTCTAGACTGGTGAGGTTGTGGCCAGCAGTCATAGTGGTGGTGATGGCCAAAGGCGAAGAGCTGGGAGGCGGACTTGGAGCTGGTATCTCTGTCTTGGGGATGTCAGTGGAGGTCTGGAGCAGGCACAGAGGGAGTACCAGGTCTGGTCTTAGGCATTCAAGATAAAGGGGAGGCAGAGGTCTTACCCACCTCCCAGGGTAGATAGGTCCTATCCCCCAGAGGAGGACAGTCCATGGAGGGGAGAGGAGGATTTCCCCAAAACAGAGGAGGGGTGAAAGGTAAGGGGCTGGCCAGTGGAGGCAGAGATATGCTGGACAGCCAGCAGGGGGAGCCCTCTTGTGTGGAGAAGGTGCAGAGCAGGCCAGGTCTGTGAGGACTGGAAGCAGAGCAAGTCCAGAACCCAGTGGTCAGGGTCAAAAAGCACCCAGGGAGCCCTCCCTGGTGGTGCAGTGGGTTAAAGCACTAAGAAGCTTAAGCCACTTCCGCATGAGTTCGATCCCCGCCTGTCCTGGAGGAGATCCACATGGTGTGGCTGACCTCTCCTGACCCGCCCTCTGCTCCCCTCAGCAGTGTACTTCGTCAATGTCAGTCTCCCTGTTCTGCTCCCCGCTCTGTCTCTGGTGAATCCTCTCACCCTCCACATCTCTGGCCCGTACCCCAGTTCTGTATACATAAATAAATAAATCTTAAAAAAAAAAAAAAAAAGGACCCAGGGCCAAGACTCCCTGACACTGATCCCAAGTGTTCTTTCCCAAGGCAGAGCTCAGCAGTCAGTTAGTTAGCCAGGACAGAGAGCGGGAGGGGCAGCTCCTTCCTCCTGGCCTGGACAACTGCAGAAGTGGGCCAAAGGCACAAGGAGGGCAGCGGGGGTCCAGGTGATGGGCTGGGGAGGGTTAGACATGTCCCTGTCCTGGGTCTGAAGTGACAGCCTCTTTCTCCCAACTACTGAGCCCCATCAATGACACTTTAATGAAGCATTCCCCTAACCAATGTCCTCCAATAATGAATACCCATAAGTGGACACAACTTGTGCTCCCCATTCCAAACAGCGGCTCCACTAACCAATGACCTGTCTATGACTTCCTGACTAGTATAAAAATCTATCAAGACTCCCACACCAATCAAGAGCCCCTGAAAGTTACTCCTCCAGGCAATGACTAAAATTTGTGGCCTCACCTGTGCCTTTCAGTCAGGGATCTTCCACTGATCACTGCCTCAACTGCCAATCCCCAGCAATGACTCGAAAAGCAGTGACACCAAAAACACGAACAGTGGCCTTCCTCAATGACCTCCAGAAGTGACCCCACAACTTGAATATCCTAAACATCCGTCTCAATCAATGTCTTCCCACCGGGATTACTCAGTCAGCAATTTCCAACAAGGAGCTCAAATATTACCCCCTACATAGTTATTTCCCAGTGAATAACTCTCTCCTATAACCCCAACCACTCACCCCAAGCAATGACACTAGTGAGCCCAGCACTCAACCCAGTTAATGATTGCCCTTACAAAGAGTAGCCCTCGTTAAAAATCCCAGGCCCTCCCTGGTGGTACAGGAGGTTAAAGCAAGCCCTAAGAAGCTAAAGCCACTTCAGCATGAGTTCAATCCCCACCCCGGAGGTGACCCACATGGAGGGGCAGACCTCTCCTGACCCGCCCGCTGCTCCCCTCAGCAGTGTACTTCGTCGATCTGCCTGTTCTGCTCCCCACTCTGTCTCTGGTGAATCCTCTCACCACCCCTGCATCTCTGACCTGTCCCCCAGTTCTGTGTGCATAAATAAATCTTTTTAAAAAATACCTTAATAACAAGGTACTCAACTGAGTGTGCCCTCTTCCTCCAGCTCCCCAAAACTGGAGGTTAGGGGGTCAGAGATAGAGGAACTATAAAATAGGATCAGCCCTCTTCTCTTTCCCTCTCCCCCCCCCCCAAACAGGATCAGCCAGCTGAGAGCAGTCACTGGTCAGGGGTTGGAGACTGGAGGCAGAGACCACGGGTGAGGGGCTGGTCATCAGTGAGGATCAGAGGCAGCGGTCAGGCAGTCCAAGAGCAAGAGGTGAGAGGTTGCAAGTCCCTTACCTGGTTCTCAGGGGAGCCAGGAGGTGGACTCGGGGTCAAAGTTTCCTTGTTCTTCTTTCTACCCTTCCCTTTTCGACCTCGCCCCTTTTTTTTCCCCTTCCCCTTGCCTTTCCGTCGAGGAGAAGGGGTCTCTGGCTCATCCTGCAAAGAAGGCCCTTATTCAGGTCAAGTCCTTCATCAACCTCCCTACACCTAGTGGCTCCATCACTCAGGTCAGTTGGGGTCATGCTGGCCCATGGCCCATTGGTCTTTATGTCTTGAATCCAGGGTTCACTTAGCCCTGTGACCTAGGTTCAGAAATCTGAGGTCCCCAGGGTTGTTCAGTTATATGACCTGAGATGAAGGTCACTCATGCCTATTTGAGGGCAAGGGTCACTCAACCTCACGGGTGGGAGCCAAACACACACACATTCCTGAGATACAGAGCAAGGATGACAGCCTGTGACCTCAGGCCCAGACCCTTACTCACCCCTGTGGCTGTGGAGTCCAGGTGGTCACAGCCTGGTAGGTACCGCTCACAGGCCTGGAGGGCGGCCTGAGGGTCCGCAATAATCAGCAGCTCCTGAATATCTCCCTGAGACAGGTGAGGGGAGAGGTGTCGGGAAAGGGGTCCCTAGGCTGAGTTCAACCGCCACTTCTCAAAGTGGCCCTTCCCTGCCCCAGCACCAAGGCTTGTAGTTTCCCCACCCAAACACCCAATGTAGAAGTGGGGGTGACCCCATCACAGCCCAAAGATCCCTTTGCCCTTCTGAAGAAAAGGAAGGAGAGATTCTGTCACGGTCACACCAAATCCCAACCACAAACCACACCCATCACATCTGCCCCTTTGTTCCTCGACACCCAGACACAAGGTGAGCACCTCCTATGTGCCAGGAGGAACTGAGGATAAGGAGAAGACAAGACAGGTGGAGTCTCTGGCTCCTGGAGGTGGCACACATGATGATACACCGCAGGGCATCTCTTCAGAGCCACACGGCTGCACACCTTGCTGGTGCCGGATACCACACTCACCCACAGTCGCTCAATATCACAGCAAGTGACCAGCCACACGATACAACCTTATCCTCTCACCATGGACCAGGAACGCACCGTTACAACCACCAGCCTTGGCTGTGCAATCGCCCAATGACACACCCTAAGCTCCCTCCTCTCAGTGAAGTGCATGTTCCCTTCAAGCTGCAGGAAAACTCCCCCTCTCACCTTCTGCCTCAGCTTACCCTGTCACTGAATCCCTACCTCAAAAGTCTCCTCTCCAGGATCCTGAGTTCCCAACACAGTTTGACCAGCTGTACTGATCAATCGAGGCCCCTGGCCCAATATGGGGGGCTGAGGTTCACAGTCCACCACCAGGGTCACCATCGCACCATCCACGCTGACTGCCACACGATGCCACCTGTGATGTACAGGCTCAGTGGGGTGCTTCTCACACCACTCCTCTCTGGACCCCCCACCCTTCCTATACTCACCTGCCATCCATGAGGTTGACCTGCGGGGAGAGAGGGCTGACGGTGACACCCAAGAGGCCCAGAGCCGGCCCCAGCGCCAGGCCCAGCTTCCGCGTACTCCCCTCATCGTAAATGGATAGAAGGACAGATTGGTTGGCCGGCTGGCCCCGCAGAGTGATCAGCACAGAAAAGTCCTCAGGAAAGTGGCCATCTGGGTGTGCGGGGTGGGGAGTTCAATTCAGATGGCCTCGTCCCAGGGCCGTCCCCAGCCTACCTCCTTCACTCACCTGGAAAGAGCTCCCACGTAGGTACGGCAAGCCTGCTGGCTTTGCCCACCTGGAATGCCCGGTCACCCTCTGGGGTCCTCTGGGGACAGAGGCCAGGCACTTGGGGGATGTCGACCTGGCCTCCTCGCATACCCAAGGCCTTCAGCAGGTCCACAGGATCCGCTGCAGAGAGAAGGCAGGAGGGGAGGTGTTAAAGTGAACCCAGGACTCCATATGAGTGGCTCACATTTGGGGAAACTCAGGCCCCCAATCTTTGTGGGTCATGGAGAAGGGACAAACCTGGGACCTGCACCCCCTCACCACCCCACAGCTGTTCCAGCCTCATCAGCCTGTTGACTCCTGTTTTGTTCCCTTGGTTTTGATGAGAATAAAAAAAGCTGACCTAGTTCTGGGATGAATCAAAGCTTCTTGGCCTAAGCCCCAGAGCCAGACTGGCCCCCTCTCCGTGCTCCCCCGCACCAGCACCAACTCCCAAGGGCTGTTTCTGGGGCCTAAAATCCCCTCACCAGCAGACGCTTGCTAGAGAGCAGGGGCTCTTTGTGTGTGCTCTTCGTCCACCCCATCTCTCAGCTTCTATCTCTCTGACCTCCTCTGCCCACAACTCCTAAGAGCTCCCCGTCTGACACCATCACCTATCACCTCCTCCCTCTGAACACCACCTCTCCTGACTTCTTTCTGACTCCTCCTTGACCACTGTCACCTAGGGTCTCCCTTTGACCACTCAGTTTCCAGTCTCCTCTCTCCGACCACTCTTAGCCTGACCATCCCCACCAACTTCTCAGTCTGGTCACCCCCTCTGACCTTTCCTCGCCTGAATCCAACTTCCTCCTTCTGACTCACCCCGTCTTTCTCTCTGATTTTCCCCTCTTCCCTTCTTCCTCCGACTACCCCCTCATCTCATCCCTCTGCCTATCCCAGTCTCCTCCATCTGGCCAGCAATCTCCCCAGTTTTTCACCCTTTGATGATCTTCTGACCACCTCTCTCTGATAATCTCTCACCTCCTCCCTCTGGCCCTCTCTTTCATCCCAAAATAGGAAGGCACTGGTCTGGCCCAATCATCCTAATCTAAGTCATCCCATCCGCCCCACCCCATGCAGCCTGGCCAGCGCTAAGTGGAACCACATGGTCTGGGTAGGGGAGAGGGCTTCCCCTGGGCCTAAAGGCCTGCATAAGCTCCTTCCCCCACAGTCTGTCCCACTGACCCCCTGACCCAACCTTTTGGCAGGAGTCAGATTCTGTCAAGTCTCCCCATGACCTCACCCTGGGGTCAGCACTACTGACCTCATACTGGGAGCATGGGTAGGGAGAGGAGACAAATGGGGGAGAGAGTCTTGGACGAGGGTCCTCCATCCAAGCTCCTTCAGGGTCTAGACTGCACAAAACTCTGTTCCAGACTCTACAGAATCTCCAGTACCTCTTCTTTCCTTTCTCCGCCCCTCTCTCTCTTTGTCCCACTTTCTGTGGGTCCTCTTTCCAAGCCCTCTCTCTGTGTCCAGCTCTGAATTTCAGTCTCTTGCTCCCTTGCATATACGTGTGTATATATGTGGGGAGGGGGGTGGTTTGCATTACCCTCCCACCTCTTTCTCCCCATCTGCAACCCCCCCAACCCTGCTGCCACTACCAGCCCCATCTCTAATTGCCCTGTCTGTGGCTGGGCTGCCATTAAGAGGTATTTGGGTTATACCCTCCTGGGGCTAAGATTTGGGCTCCCAGGGTCTGCTAACCACAAGGGTCACTCCTTCCTGGAGCCATCATTCCAGTCACCCCGCCTCCAGGCTGGAACCCAAGGGAAGGCTGAGATCCATAACGCCACCTACTGTGGCTCTCTTAGGCTCCCCTCACTCAGACCCCAGCTTCTATGCACTGTATGCAGTGCAGCGAGAGGGGGGCCTCTCATCAACCCACTGCTCATTCATATTTAAAAAGTCCTTCCCAGCATCTAGCCCAAATGTCTCCTGCTTCACTCTTATGTCTCTTCTGTAATGACCTTTCAGAACTGACTGCCCTTTCTTTTCGTGGCTGGCTTCGTGACAAGGGGATACACAAGAGGCATTGAATCCTGCCTGCAGGCCAGGGTGTGGGGGTCTGTCAAGGACCCAGCCTTCCCTTCCCCACAGACCCTTCCTGTGCTACTCACGGAGACACTAGGTGGGGTCTAGGTTGTGGACGGAGGCAGGCAAGGAGTAGTCACGGATCCCCTCAGATGTGTAAGATTGTGGGTATCTGTGCAAGTGTGCACATGAACTATTCGGTGCATAAGGCTGAACATGCATGTGTGACTGAGTAGAACAGGGAATGGCTGGGTGTGTGATTCGTTAATGTGTTTGCATGTGTGCAAGTATTTAGCCTATGGTGGAGAGATTAGATGCAATTTGATGTAAGGCTACATGCCCAATGAGAGCTGGGGTCCTAGCAGTGAAGTTAGGGTCCTGTAGGTGGATCTATACTTGTAGTAGCTCATATTGGAGATGGGAAAGTGTGGTTATATGTGACCATGGACAAACCATCAAGTAGGTGACTGGTTGTGAACATTGGCCACGTTATATGGACGACTGGGAAGCAAGTGTGAACATTTAAAAGCACATATAGGAGGGTGACAGGAGCTGTGACCATGGAGTGGGTGACTGACGGGATTGCTTGGGATGGGTACCCAGTGTTTAACATTTCTGGGCTCCCAAGTGGCCTATATTTTGAGTGGGTGCTGGAGCTTGAACAACTGTTTGTGCGCGTGATCGTGGGAATGGGGCATAGGCCAATTTGAGGTTATCCATGGGAGCAGGCACCTCCCTGGTCTCAAGAGAAAGTGAGGGAAGTGAGGTGAAGGGTATGTGTGTGTTGGGGAGCTGAGTGTGTTCCGGAAGAAATTTCTGGGAGCCCTGACCTGGGATCTTTCAGACCTGGGAAGTTCCAGAGATCACCACTTGAGGGACCACGACCTTAAGGAATCCCACCCCTCCCCCATTCCTTTGGGGCGGGGCTTGGCGTCCTGCCAGTTGCGTGCAGCTGGGCATGCGTCAGCTCTGACTCATTCATGTGACTGCCCCTGGGACCCCAAGGGGGCCCCTAAGAAATTCCTCAGAAAAAACACCAGAGGTTCGCTCAGCAGAGGTTCGCTCAGCAGAGACTCGCTCAGCAGCTGAAAGAAGAGTGAGAGAAACTTAACCCCCGCCGCCGCCCGGGCTCCG